AGGCAACCAAGAAAACTCACGATTCTTTTTCTACGATTTAAATTATCTTTAAGTTTTTATTTGCTTTAAGTTTTCAGTGAAATTAAATGTTAAACACGGCTTAAACATTCCAAACTACCTATTTTTTAAATAAAAATCCAAACAAATTGAAATTAGATACCTACCTATTTATTAAACAATTAATTGAATTCAATGTAATAGGAAAAATTAATTTCTACTTAAATCATGTAGCTAGGTATTATCATACTATTACTGCTTCTAAAAGCAATAATAATTATTGTTCATTTAATGTAATCTTTAGCTAATAAATAAATGAGATTCTAAAAAAGTGAGGTAAGGCCGCTTTGATGTTGAATTAAATTGACCTATATAAAGTGCTTTATATGTTGTATGCCATTCGGCCAAGAAGTGCCTTTTTGTGCTTCGCTCAATTGTAGGCCTCCGCTATGCGGCCTTCAAACCTTGAGCTTAGCACAAAAAGCCTTACTACTTAACCTAATGACATAAATAACTATTATTAGCTCACCACGATTTTTGATGACCTTTCAGGGATATTATGTAATAAACATCCTGAATCGATCAAATTCCAAAAATCAATTTCTGACCCAGCAATTTCAGCTGAGCGATAAGAGGTTTCTTTTTCCTTTCCGCATTACATGCATATGCATAACTAGTTTTATAATTTAAAAAATAATGCGCATTATCTTGAGTGTTATACTATACTTTTTCTACTCCAATTAAGTCATTTTCATTAATAACAAAATTTATTATGACCAATTTAAAAGCCGATTTGTTTAAATCACAGTAAATATTGAAATCGGCTAATAACTAATGCCTAACAACGTGAATAACGAATTCATTTTCCGGTGCTAGACGGAACCATTAATACGGGAAAAATAGTATCAAGTTTTATTAACACAATTTTAGCGAGTTTTATTATGCACGAGCAAAGCTTGCCAGCGAGTGTCTAGAGAAGTTTATAAAACAAGTTGCATACTATACTTTATTATGCACGACGAACAAAAAGAAGAATTTAAAGCCAATTTTAATTGTTAAATATTTGAAATCTGACGAATTTATCCTCAATTTTTTTAAATGAATAATACAGCTAATTTCAACCCGTGACTAAAATACTCAAAAGCCACTATTGCTTACTTCACTAAAACGCCATAACGTCACAGGAATGTGGAAGTAGATAATAGTAAATATACTATACATACATATAAATACATAATATTGCATAAAGTTTTATAAACGCCATTCTATAGTTACGAGTTTAAGTAGGCACGAGCGAAGCTTGCGAGCAAGTGTTTAATTAAAACTAGTGTCTAGAGAAGTTTATAAAACGTGTTGCATACTACTACTTTATCTACGACGGACATAAAGAAGAATTTAAAGCCAATTTTATTTGTTAAAAATTTTACATCTGATAAATATCCAGGGCCGGCGTGAGGCATGTGCACACGGTGCGGTGCACCCGGCCCCGCCTTTTATAGGCCCCGCGCGCATCAAGGCGTCTCGACGAAATTATTGTACATTTTGGCAACCGGTAAGCGCCGCGCGACAACATATTATGTTGAACATAATATGTGGTCGATGCCAGAGATAATATCTTTTGTAGGCATCGCCATCTACTATCATTCCGTCCAATGTTGCTAAATGTGTATTTATAGTTGCCTGTATCCGTTTGAAACAGATATTATCTGTGTCATACGGATACAGGCAACTGCAAATACACATTTAGCCACACTTGAAGGAATGATAATAGATAGCGATGCCTACTAAAGACAGTTGTTGCGCATGGCTGTCACTAAGTGACAAGTCTTGTCATCAAATTAATGGCTGATGTTATCACAAATCAACTAAATAGTTTCTATGCGCATTAGTGTTAATTAATCGTGGTATTGTGATTGTGTATTTTGTTCATGCAAATATATTATTTTTTGTGAGTGATTAAACAATAAACATTGGTAAGTTAAAGCCACATACAGAAATTGTTAATAGTATGGCCCATACTTTATGTGTAAATAATAAGTGTAAATAATAATCATGTTTTTTGGGTTGGGTCTTTTACAGAGTAATAGAAATAAATAAATGAATATTATTATTATTATATAAATATATTACAGAAACACGCTAGGCGCTATGTTAATTTTCAAGAGTAAATTTTTATTTTAAGTTCAAGCCCCGCATTTTTCTTTTGCACCTGGCCTCTAATAAGCTAACGCCGGCCCTGTAAATATCAACGGATTTAACCTCACTTTTCCCAATTTATAATAAAGCTAACTTCAGCCCGTGACTAAAATAGCTTATTAATGTGAGAGTAGATAAACAAATAATGTTAATAATATGCAATAGAAGCAAAAAAACATCAGTTAAAGACATAAGTGGATAAAGATTTTAGATTACTTTTTAATAATAAAGGATAGAAAACTTTGAAATTTTTAAACAAAATTTGTTTTTAAATAAAGGGCTTAAACCTTAATTACACTGGTCGATAGCAATTTTTGAACATGGTGGCCAACAATTTTCTAGTGTAATTTTGGTGCGCTGATCATTTTCCTTAATTAGCTTTTGTTTTCAAAAAATTGCGAAAAAAACGATTTCTTCGACATTCAAACTTTGTATTTATATTTTGTGTATATAGTTACTTTATCCGAGCATCGGTAATGTACCATGGGTCCTAATTAAACAAAAAAATTATACACATTCGTTTTTTAGCCAACCGCGCGTATAAAAATTTATATTTACGACCATTTTTTGTCCCGGTGCACCGCGGTGCTTGTACGACTCCGTAAATAAATGAGCAGCAATGAGTTGACATATATGTATTTATACGGATTGAAATCAAAAAAACAATGAAAAAAATGTATTGTAAACTAGTAGGGGTATAGTCCAAAGTGAAGCTAATAAATAATTAATTATTTTAAATATATAGTATGTACTGGTTTTGATGGATACTTAAATTTGTATACAGATGAAAATACCCGCTGCATCCAATGAGACAAATATTTAAATACACATAGTTTCAAAACTTATGCATCACCCCTCGTATTCACGTTGTATACATTTTTATAAATCGGTTTATTTATCACATGTTAAGTAACTCTTTTTCATGTAAAAGTAAACATTTTTTGTGGTAAAAAAATGTGTATACCCATTTAGTTGTGTTGTTTTCACTTTGGTGTCAATTACACAAAAATTTATTCCAATTGAAATTTAAAAAAACGTGATTAATAATGAATCGTCGTTTAATTTCTGAGCTGGATCGTGCCAGAATTATTGTTTTAGTTGAAGAAGGCCACTCACAGCGGTTCGTGGCGGACAGAGTGGGTGTTTCTCAGAGTGATGTTTCCCGGATATGGAATAGGTTTTTGGAGACCAATTCAGTGCAAAATAGGCATCGATCTGGTAGACCACGAGTCACCAATGAACAACAGAATATATTCATAAGGATTTCCATTCGGAGAAATCCCTCTATGTCTGTACCAGCTCTCCAAAGAGAATTCAGGAATGCCACAGGAGTCAGAATATCGTTGGCTTCAATCAGAAGACGAATTGTTGAGTCAGGTTTGAGGTGTCGTCGTCCAATTAGAGTCCCCCAGCTCCAACATAGACATGTTTTGCACCGCCTCCAGTGGGCTCAAGAACAGATACAGCTCCCTCTACAATTTTGGAATTCTGTGCTTTTCTCAGATGAGACCCGAATCTGTATGAACAGTGATAGCCGACGAATTCGTGTTTGGCGAGAGCCAACAAGAGCTGCTCAATTAGCGCATGCCCGCCCCAGACTTCCTTTCGCTGGTGGCAGTGCTATGTTTTGGGCAGGCATTATGGCAGGTGATCGTACGGAATTGGTGCTCATTGACGGGACTATGACAGGACAAAGGTACATCACCCAGGTTTTAGAACCTCATGTGAGACTATGGCGAGGAGCTGTGGGTGAAAATTTTGTGTTTATGGATGACAATGCCCGCCCACATAGGACTCAAGCAGTTAATGACTATCTTGAGACACAAGGAATCCGTCGTTTGGAGTGGCCTGCGATGTCGCCAGACATGAACCCAATTGAATATGCCTGGGACATGCTCTCCAGAGCTGTTCAAGCTCGAAGAAATCCTCCCAGAACCCATCAGGAACTAGCAGTTGCAGCAAGAGAAGAATGGGAGAATCTGCCACAGAAAGCAATTGATCGCCTTGTTAGCAGTATCAGAGCTCGAATGCAGGCGTGTATTGACGCCCATGGTAGAAATACGCTGTATTAAAACTGTACAAATTAATTTTAATTAAAAATAAAATGTTCATTTTCTTAATTTTTTTATTAAAAAAAAAACTACATCTGTTCTAATAAAAAAATTATCTGCCAACTGAATAATTTTCATTGTATAATTGATCAATAAAAGTAGTTTGTTAAAATTTATTATAATAACGGAGATTTCAGGTGATGCATAACTTTTGAAACTGTGTGTATAACCCAAGTTTTTCATATTTTTAATTAGATGTGGAAATTTTTGATGACGTATGGATTTTGGTTGGTAAGATAGTTAATAATTATTAACTATTTTGCCAACTAAAATCCATATATCATCAACAATTCTTACCAAAAAGCCCACATTTTTTTGAAATAAAATATAGTTCTTTATTCTCTTTTCTTAATTTAAAAGTACAGATACTAAATATTTAAAAAGTAAATGGACTAATTAATAAGGCTATTAAAAAAAGTACTGATTTTATAAAAGTTAGATATCAACTTTACAATCTATGGTTTAGTTATGCGAGTTAATACAAAAAGGCCTTTTGTTTGGATTTATTGGAATCTGTGGCCCTTAACAAAATATTTATGTGTGCCTTTACTGAAATACTATGCTTTTTCTACTCCAATACGTAATCTTTCATTAATAAAAAATTTATTATTACCTCACTTTTCCCAGAATTTAAAGTTCAAAAAGTATTTTAATATATTTTGTGCATTGTATTCATAAATACTTCTTTTATTTTAGGATTTGGAAACATTTGACCTGGAAGATTTCAAATACAATTCAGTAAATATAACCGCCTTTAGAATTGTTGATGTGGAGGATCCCAATGTTAAAGAAAATTTGGAAGTTATGGAAAAGTTTCAACCAATTGGACCTGCAATTTTAAACAGAAGTGGAATCATACAGGTATTACTAAAATTTATACTACCAAAACTTTTAATCCTATTTAAACATGTACCTATTGTGCTATAAAAATTTATTCTACCAAGTTTAGTTGATAAGACAGACTAAAATTGTTTGTTAAAAATAAGTCTCCATCGCAATTAAAAGTTTCTCCTTAATGAGCATACCTTTTCGAAATAAACGAAAAGGTATAATAAAAGTTTTTTCAATTGAGAATTTTTTTTCGACTAAGCGCACGCTAATATATTTTTAGGCCGAGCCAGCTTTGATGTTTGACTCCGTCTACGTATTCGCCAAAGGTTTATCGTTAATGGACTCTGCCCATACAATAAAGCCGATGAATCTGTCATGCGACCTGGAAAAACCCTGGGACGACGGACTAACACTTTACAACTTTCTGCACACGGTGGTGAGTAGTTCAAATTTAACGAGCCGAAAATATAACCAGATAAGGCTTTGCTAAATCACCTAGTTAAAGTTATTAATTTATTTTTTGTTCATTTAAATGTATTTAATTTATTTTAATTAAATTTCACCCACAGGATTTAGTATATTTAAATCCTTATTTTTCATGTATACTTTTTAAAAGTAAGAAATATAAAAAGTAATTTTTTAAAAATAATGATGAGAGCACCAAAAGAGTACAATAAATAATAAAAAGATAGAAGAAGTTTCCTATAGAAAATTTTATCAAATAGGTAAATAATATTGTATAAAATTTATTTATTTATTAAATAAAGACTCTACAGGAAAATTTTCCCAATTACAGAGCTTTTTCTAAAATTAACTTAAGACTAATTTCCATAATATGTATTATAACTTCTATTCTTACTTAAATCTATTTACCAAAAAAAAATACACTTTCAATAAATACTTAAAAGTATTTCTAATACAAAACAAAAATCTCCAAAAAAATTATCCACAATGTAACCTAAAACTATCTTAAAATTTAATTGATAAAAGTCCAAAATATATCTGTGATTAACCTTATCAAATGCTTTTTGGAAATCTGTGTATATATACAATATCAACCTGAACGTTATTAGACAACGAGTCATGTATGTATTCAATAAAATTAAGTAAATTACTAGTAGTTGATCTTTTACCAACAAAGCCATGTTAATGTTGAGACAATATATTTTCAACATTACTATATATATATTTATAAACAATTGACCCAAATATTTTACTCACAAAAGACAATACAGAAATTGGGCGATAATTTATAACATTTGTTTTATCACCAGACTTAAACAGTGGAGACACCTTTGCATTTTTTAAAACTTTTGGAAACTTTTTTTATTTTAATGATAATTTAAACAAATAACACAGCGGATTCACAAACACATCACTGGATCCTTTAGTTATATACGCTGGAACACCATCTTCACCTGGTGAAGATGGTTTAAGTTTCTTTATTGCTGCCAAAACATCAATGTTTTGTATTTTCTTCAACTCAATAGGACTAATATTACTTGGTTCATCATGTCGAAATTAGTCATAATCTATGTTTTGAATATTAGTGTAAACAAACAAATAAGTGCTGATAAAAATATCTTGGTTAAAAACAAACGTAATAAAAATGGAAAAAGCTATCAATTTTTTTAAACGGAAGCTCCTGAAAGTCGTTATCAAAAAATTGACATTTCCAAAGTGTCCCGCGAAAGAGGAAAGATTTCTCTTCATTAACACCTCTTTATCCAGACGGAAAAGAAATTTCCAACAAAAGGCAGAATATATTAAATCATTGATGGGATTTATTCGATTAGATGCCAGACCGTTCTATAAAATAGGAAACATTTAATAATTTTAGGATGATATCGATGGGTTTGGACAAACCTTTATTATTACTTAATCGTTATGATGTTTTTGTTATTTTGCTTTTGTAACGTTCAGAAAATAAAGCTATATCATTTATATAAATACTACAATTCTTTAAATATACCTTCTTTTAAATAGAACCCAAAGCTTTTTCAGCTTTTTGGCACTTGGTTCCATCCAAAAATCTATAATTTATGGTTGGTTGTTTATTCAAAAGGAACCAACTGCCAAAAATACCTACAAAATCATGTTTCTATCTTAATAAACTTGGGTCTATGATAAAAATACACTATTGAGAATACCTAATTCAAAAAGCTGAAGTTGTGTACTCATTATTTTCATAAAGCATTATCATCTTTAACCTCTAGTATCTCAAAATTCCAATTTGGCGCTTGGTTCCTTTTAAATAAGCGTAGTCCAAATAAAAGAATGTAAAACTAAAATATTAAACACATTTTAAAAAGGATCATTAAAAAAAATTTCAATATTGTAATATTTATCATAAAATATTTTTGTTAATCTTTATTTTAGAACAACTCTTCTCTTACATTGGACTTATAACATTATGTATTTTGTTACAACACTTTATACCCTGATACGTGTGGAATGTTTGGGAAATATATAATCGTGAAAATGGAGGTCTACAATGAAAAAAATAAGCGGTTGAAACAACAAAAAAATATTAATTCAACTCTTTATGCACTTTAAATACAAGCAATGGTTTTTGCACGTTTACTTAACCACCTAAAAATGTCAAATTATATTGTTTAATTGAACAACAAATAACAGTCAAATGAACAAAATGAGAATATTTGTTCTAATCTGCTTATCTGGTTAATTAAACATTCTTGATATGTCGGAGTAATATTTCGAAAATGGTTGTGCTAGCATTCTTAAGATGTTATGGTAAATTTCTTGAAATATCCAGCTAATCTTTTTATCATATTCATTTAACACCTATAAAACATTAAATTAAAATAATTTAGAATTTGAGCTAATGTTCCAAAACGGTTGGGTTAACATTCTGAAAATGTAAAAGTAACATTCAAAATTATGGAATTAATATAAAAAGAAAGACTTGAACCTTCACCTCGCCAGAGTTTTTGTTTTAAGTGCGTTCCACCTACTTCAAATACCGACAGACAGCTGTTTCAACCTATATTGAGGGTCTTATCAGGGTCGGGCAATTTGGTGTAGTGGAAGTTCCACTGTGGAACACACACAAAACAAACCGCTACCTGAGCTTATATACTCCTATCGTAAGCTAACTGAGGCGAGATGTAAGAACATCACGTGATCAACACCGTCTAATGACGTGGCGTGGGTGTTCGAAGCGCCCTTCACGGCAATTTTATGAATAAAAATTTAACATTTTAAATTTTAAAGTAACATTTACAATTAGTTAAATGAACAAATTTAATGTTTTGGATTCAAGAGCAACTAAATGTTAATTTAATAGTTTTTTAGGTAATCCTAAAAATTTAAGTATTTCATTCAACCAATTCCAGCTATTAAATCAAAATAGGATAAACATTTTAATTCAAAAAATTAGTTTATGTTAAATCAATATTTTAACTGTGAAATGAACAAATAAACTTTGACAAACTCTGACTATTGCTTTGACACCAAAATATAGATTAATCCAATAGTTTTTTTGATGAAACAGCATTTTCAAAAATGACATTTAGGCAAACGTTAACTCAACTACATTATTTTTTTCGGTGTAATATTATTTCTTCCTGTTGTAATTATGAATTCCGTTATTTTATAAAATTTATGAATATTATCATGCATATATGTATAAAATAAAATTTAAAATATAGACATGGAAGAGTAAGAATGTTATATTTTTAAACAACAATTTGCATGAACATATTAGACCCTTATCATCCATGGTTTTTTAAATATTTTTTAAGTGTGCTGACAAACCTCAAAAGCCCATATTGTAAGTGGCTCTGGACAAGTACAAAGTATATTAGCCTTAGGACCTCATACGATACACCGTCCTAGAGATATTTTAAGGAAGCAATTTTGTATTTAACTTTATTCCTAGAAACTTAATAGTATTATTTACTTTTACAAGGATATGGCTTATTTTGATAAGAAGATCAAAGTTATTAGATAAATTGCATTTAAAAAGTTTATTGGTATTAATAGTCCATTTCCAATTTTCACACCAAACATAAATTTGTTAAAGTTATTTTTGTATTTAAAAATAAAAAACACACCATATCTGATCTGGATCATCATTACGGTATTGTTTTTGATCAAGAAATTACAAAAAAGAAATAGGCACCATCTTTATTAATCGTCCATAATATTTTTTATAATAATATTACCTTAATAAGGATTAAATTAATTAATTGACAAAATAATGTTTTACAATATTAAACATTTTTTTTACCTTAAATGAGTTATTTTTTTAAATTGAAAATCGCATTCTTATTATTAAAAAAAAATTTAACTCCCTTTTTCAAGAACTATAAAAATCACCCCGTATACAAATATTGCAAATAATCCTTTTATACTGACAGGTAAAAACTGAACATTGTGCGCAATCGATAATCACCGAAATACACAACCTACTAAACAGTTGACAACAGGCTAAACAATGCTTAGTAAACATTCAATACGGCTACAAATTTTTACTTACTTTTTAGACAACAAAAAATAGCGCGAAATGGACTAATAGAAACCAAGAAAAATTAAAATATTCGTTACTTTTTGAATATAACTCCTATATGTCCCAATATACATATAAAGAAACAAAAAATTTTAAATAAAAAATAATAAAAAATTACACAAAAAATATAAAAATGAAACCTATTTAATCAAATACAAACGACAAAATTAAAACCGATATAAATAAAGCTTATCAAAATTACACAATAAGTGTAATAATATAAGTTTAAATCTAAAACAATTGTACTATATATGTACTATGAAACAAAAGAATTAACAAATGGGAACAAAATAGCTGAGGCTATAGCATACAACTTTAAAAAAGTTTACACTAATATTCAAAACATAGATTATGACTAATTTCGACATGATGAACCAAGTAATATTAGTCCTATTGAGTTGAAGAAAATACATAACATTGATGTTTTGGCAGCAATAAAGAAACTTAAACCATCTTCACCTGGTGCTGCCCTATAGTACATATATAGTACAATTGTTTTAGATTTAAACTTATATTATTACACTTATTGTGTAATTTTGATAAGCTTTATTTATATCGGTTTTAATTTTGTCGTTTGTATTCGATTAAATAGGTTTCATTTTTATATTTTTTGTGTAATTTTTTATTTAAAAATTTTTGTTTCTTTATATGTATATTGGGACATATAGGAGTTATATTCAAAAAGTAACGAATATTTTAATTTTTCTTGGTTTCTATTAGTCCATTTCGCGCTATTTTTTGTTGTCTAAAAAGTAAGTAAAAATTTGTAGCCGTATTGAATGTTTACTAAGCATTGTTTAGCCTGTTGTCAACTGTTTAGTAGGTTGTGTATTTCGGTGATTATCGATTGCGCACAATGTTCAGTTTTTACCTGTCAGTATAAAAGGATTATTTGCAATATTTGT